GCCCAGAGTCCCCGGCAGGATGGAGTGGCCATCGGCAACATGGGGAGCCGGTGGATGTGGGATGTGGTGGGGCAGGTGGGCCCGCCTGGGGTGTGGTAAGCAGAGAGGTCCTCACACCACCAGTGGGGATGCCCGGCAGGCGTTGGGCTCTCCGGGCCGGCGGTCCAGTGGCAGGTGGCCCCTCTGCCCAGAGATGCCACGTGAAGCCGTGGGCAGCACAGTCCAGCCTCTGGGTGGAGTCCGGGGGCGCCCACCAGGAGGGGGACAGGAGAGGAGGAACATGTGAGCTGGGAGGAGGTCAGCCCAGGAGGCCTGAGAGCTGGCCGCTGGCTGCAGTCATGGGGGCCCTTTCAGCCCCACCCATGTTTCCCTCACACCGATTATGTGTCAGTGCACGGTATGCTTCATGACGCTTCACTTTCGGAGCTGGCCTGGCTGTTCACGAGTGTTTACTGTCCATATGAACGTTGGAATCAGGTTGTCTATCCTCTAATTCTGTGTCTACAACCGTCATTGTCTGTGTCCAGGATGTTGTTCCAGAGGGAGCAGCCAGCAGTTACAGCAGTGCCCTCGGTTGGAAGGGGACTGGGCAATGTCTGGAGGAAGTTTTGTCCCCACTGCTGGAAGGGGTGCACCGGCACCTAGTGGTGGAGGCCAGGCTGCTGCCAACACCCTGCAGTGCACAGGACACCCCCACAGCAGGGAGGCATCTGGTCCCAAGTGTTCATGGTGCTGTATTTGAGAAACCCAGATTTAGGCGCCTACAAAACGTCTTTCTGAAAAGGCTCGCCTCTGCCTGTTCTGCTGCTGGCTGCTGGGCTGTTTCATGGGACACGACCTTCTAAAATGCTCTTGCACAGGCCGCAGTATAGATGCTGTATGCAACTGGAGACGTTTTTATTGTCTCCGTCTGCCCAGTGTCCGGCCCCTTCCTGTAGTTGGATGATGCCTTTGGTGGTATCCAAGGTACCCAAGAACGTTGTTAGAGAAGCTGAAGTCAGATGCTTTCCCAGCATCCCTGGCAGGCCTTTGACCCAGGCTCCTCCATCTGATGCACCTGGGCGGGAGCGTGGGAAGGAGTGGGCACGAGGGCCTGTCTCCTGGCTGGAGTGGGGTCCGGAAGGGCTGGGCAGCAGGACTGGCCTTGCCAGGGCATCTGAAGCCAGGCTGGGACTGCTGCTGGCTGGCTCACACCAGGCCTCGCCGGCCCAACATCTTTTTCATCAGTTCCCTTTACTTTCAGCATTCAGTGCACGTTTCTGTTGCTTGCAACCAAAAGTCCTGGGTGTACAAACTCCCTGCCGAGAACAGCAAGTGCAGTAAGACGCCGTGACAACAGCGGGAGGGAAGGCCTTTGCTGTGAGCTCTGTCACCGGGTTGGGCTTGAGGGGTGTGATTTGGACCCATGGTATAAAAAAATTGTGGAATTGGATTTTAGGAGGAGGCTTGAAGATACACTATATACTTACTGTACCGTAATTTTCGTGTTTTGGTTGTAAAATGGCTTAGTGATGATTAATGACTTAGGATTTTTGGACAAAATCTACGGACTTCCCAACGTCTGGCAGAGGGAAGAACTTTAGCACCAGACCCCCGGGCTGGGGGAGGTGGTCCTGGGCTGGAAAGAGAGGAGGAAAAAGGTGAGGGGAGAAGCTTGGAAAGCAAAACAATTTTGGATTCCTCGTTGAATAAGGAGCACATTCCTCACATTTGCCGCCACCATGCACATCCTCCAGCGCGTCCGCCGTCCTCTGGGCAGCGTACGGCCAGGCTCGGTGTTGAGTTTCCTGCGTTTTGCGTGGATTCACTCTGCCAGGTTCACCAAGGTCCCTTCTTCTCCAGCTTCCCTGTCAAGGCCCTGTTCAAAATTTCTCCACTTCAACAGAAAACTCGGCTTCCTCCTATCCCCTGGACTAGCTCCCATTTCCATCCCAGAACCTTGTCCCACCAGTTAAGACACCGGGCAGGACAGGGTGAAGGACGAACCACAAAACCCGCCAACCATGGCTGCTCCAGCGAGAGGCTCCTCAGGGGTGTCCTAGCATTTCCTGTGGGCTCCCTCAGGCGCCCTCCTGACCCCGGGAGGGGCCCCCGTGTCCCACGTCCAGAAGCACAGGGAGCGCCGGAAACCCCACTGGAGCAGGGGTCCTGCGGTGGCCACAGGGCTGCTCGCCTTGGCCGCATCACTTCTGCCTCCCAGAGGGACCTGTGGGTCTGGAGGGCAAGGGGACAGCAGCCTGTGAACCAACAGACTGAGCAAGAGTGGGTGGGCTCTGCTGGCGAGACGAGGCCTTCAGCTTCAGGGATCAGGGAAGGGACAGGACAATTCAAGTGAGGCTTATGGTCAAGCCCACTTAGAGAAAAAACATATGAAACGCATGTAACCTGATTTTAGCAGGCCCTGCTGGATGCCTACCCCCGTCCTCCCCTTTCCTCCGTGGTGACAGGCCCCTTAGTTTTTAGGTATTTGGTAGCAAGTTTCCAGGCCAGAGGCTAAGCCATCCTCGGTCTTTTCCGGGCACATCTAGGTTTTGCGAGGCCTGAAGCTTCCACTATTTGGGGCCAACAGAGGAGCTTTTTCCTGAGAGAAATATTGTTAATATTTAATGGACACAACATTAGGTGCAAATTGAAGTTTTATTTAGAATGAAAAAATAGACAACAAGTTACAGATTTTAAAGAGCTTATGAATTCCACAGATGTCGTGGAGTCCAGGTGAGTAACAGTCAGGTTGGAGGGGCGAGCTCCGCCTCGTCTGTATTTTTGGCTTTCTCTGAGGGTAGTGGTTTTACCAACATGCTTCATCAAAAACTATCAGGGAGAGTCTAGAAAAGGTCAGGTAAGGTCAGATTCTGGGCCCTGTGGCACCTCTGCAGACCTCGAGCAGTTCCTTCCACGGTGGCTCCAGGCCTTGGCATCCCTGCCTCCCCATGGCTGCCCCTGTGCCCAGGCCCCGCCAGCGATGTCAAGGCCCCCTCGGCCTCACCGTGCCGCGCCCAGCATCTCGGACGCCGTTCCTTCCCGGTGGCACCTGCCCAGACTTTGCCGAAAATCGAAGACAACAGGAGGAGGAGGTGGGCTTAGGAGCGAAGCCGCGGCCCTCACCTGCCCACACCTGCCCGGCTGCCACCTGTCCCAGAGGTGGAGGGACCAGCCGAGGGGTGGCTCCCCTGGCTGCCCACCTTTGAGCGTCTCTCAGGCCGGGAAAGGGCAAAGGGCCACATGAAGCCAGCAGGCACTTCGGTGCCACATCCCCAGAGGGACGGTCCTATCCGGGAACCCCTGGCTGCCCGGAAAGCCACTTCCACCGTGCCCACGAGAGGACTCGGCAGCTGTGAAGGAACTGGGAGATTCTACAGACAGGCCGAGCTCAGGGCTTCCAGGCTAGGAAGTCTTCCAGACGCCTGGCTTCACCAGTCCCCGGTGGAGAAGATGGAAGGGGCATGGTCAGAGGCCTGGCCGGGGAGGAGGGAAATGCCAGCCCCGTGAACAGGACCACAGGACAGGG